AAGTTTTCAGTGGAAGTAGTCTCCAAATTTAATTGATATTTTACTAGATCAAAATTTCACTAAGTCACCATATAATAAATAAATAACACAATTATATTAATAGTTAAAATTTCTATTTATCTATAATAATATATGAAAGAGTGAAAATAATTACCTCAATATGTACCCAGCTGAAAGTGATATATACATATGTATATATATATATATATATATATATATATATATATATATATATATATATATATATATATATATATATATATATATATATATATATATATATATATATATATATATATATATATATATATATATATATATATATATATATATATATATATATATATTCGGCCGAAATCACGACCGTTAGATCGATAAGAATCGGACGGCCGCTAAAAACGCGTAGTTTGAAATGACGCGTTTGACCATCTGACAGGTCAAAGCGCGTCATTCAAAATGACGCGTTTTAGCGACCGTCAGATCTTGCGATCTATCCCTGGCCGTCAGATTAGGAGGCAAGATAGGAGATCCGGCCGTCAATCTCAGCTCAATCCAACGGCCGTTAAAGCGCGTCGTTCAAAATGACGCGTTTTAGCGACCGTCAGATCTTGCGATCTATCCCTGGCCGTCAGATTAGGAGGCAAGATAGGAGATCCGGCCGTCAATCTCAGCTCAATCCAACGGCCGTTAAAGCGCGTCGTTTTAAACGACGCTTTATTGTATTTTTGTAAATAATTACAAAATCACCCCAATTCTCAAAAAAAAATCCAAAATATTGTAAAAAAAAAAATGCCCCTCGAAAATCCCCCAATAATTATGAAAACTCATATTTTTCTATTTCTTTTTTTCTTTTATCGATATGCAATGGTGTTTGTATGATATATATTTAAATTCACTTTATTAGAATAAAATAACAACTAAAGTTTATTAGTAAATATTATAACTTTTGAATTACTATTTGCCAAGACCTCTAGGCTCTAGTTAAAGGTGTAAACGGGCCGAATTTGACTGTTTAAGCGAGCTCGAGTTTGAGCCGTTTTGACATTTTTTTACTTTTACTAATATTGTTAGAAATTTATATTTATAACTTATAATAAAAAAAAAATCAAAATAAACAAAAGACCTGTAAAATTATTATTTTTTCTAAATTATTTATATCAATTTATTTTTTATTGTATATTAATTATATTTAAAGTAAATAAAAAAAACTCTCGAACCAACTCGTGAGCTCAGGAACATCTAAAAAACTCGTCTGAAGGCTCGAACTTTTCCAAAATACTTTCGCAATTCTCAAACACCGTCAACGTATTTGTATCCGAGAAAGAACGCAATTGAAAGACCAACCCTATATCCGTTAACGGGTCAAACCCGAATTAAGTATCCAATATTCTTCTCAAAGCTCAGACGATACTACAACGCTCATCGGAACCGCCGCCCTCCGCCGTGCATCCCGAAACTCCGAATCATCCGGCGATGGAGAGAGAGATCCTCCTCCAATTGGGGATCCTAATTTTCAGCCTAGGCATCTTCTACGTTCTCCACAGCCTCCCGAAGCGGGTCTTCACCAAGCTCCGATCCAAAACCCGACCCAACAACCAGGCCCACCGCCACTTCATCCTCGGAGCCCAGCTCCTATCCCGAGCCCGATCCACCAAGACCAAATCCACCGCCTTCAACCTGGCCAAATCCGCCGCCGACGAGGCCGACAAGGCCTTAGCCCTCGAGCCCAGAGATCCCGCCGCCCACATACTCAAGGCCATGGCCCAGGGGCTGATGGGCCACAAGACCGCCGCCGTGAAGTCGCTGGATACGGCGCTTTCGCCGCCGGCGGTGAAGATGCTGTCCGGGACGGAAAAGGGAGACGCTCTGTTTAAAAGGGCCGAGTTGCAGTTCGAGATGAACCGGAAGAGGCGGGTCGACTCGGCGATTTCGGACCTGGTCGAAGCGGTCGGGCTTAACCCGGATAATTGTAAAGCGTTTTGCTTGTTGGGCCGGTGTTATGAAATTAAGGGGCTGAAAGAAGACGCAATGAATGCTTTTGCGGCGGCGCTGAAAATTGAACCCGGTTTTGTGGAGGCCCGTGACGGTTTGGGCCGAGTCGGCCCATAATTTGTGTTTTTTATTTTTTTATTTTTTTATTTTTATTTTTCTTTTTTTTCTTTTTTTGAGTTATCACCTCTACCTTGGAATAACTTTTGTAACTTTTGAAATTTATGATTTTTCTTTTTAGTGTTTAGAGTTTTGTAGTCGCTACACCCGGTTACATACACTGATGATTTTAAACTATAAATTTACACATTATTACAAACATACACTGGATGATCTTAAATCATGAATTTACGCATAATAACAAATATACAGTTTGTGTTTAATTGGTAATTATTTGTACATATCTACGTTTTAAAATCACCATGTGTATATCATCGGGTGTAATATCCATGACCTTTTATCTATCACAATTCAAAAGTTTATACAAAATTTCCCATAAATAAAATATTACACTCAACTTATAATTACCCAGAATAAATCTAAAACACTAAAAGCAGTAAGAGCTTGCTTATTACGGTTATTTCTATGCTACACCCGGTGAAGATTACATTAGATGATTTTTTACTGTTGATCTACACACACCAATATGGGTGCGAGTGTATAAATGGTAAAAATCTATCCAATATAGCATAAAATATAGACAGTTAAATACATAGTGCAATGCCTAAAAATAGAGTTTTATCCCACCATAAATGACCAATCCCATTTTTCCTTTTCACAAACTTTCCACAAAACAAGTCAAGCTTCTTGAAAATGACCATCAAATGATTGAAAAAAAAGTAAAAAGAAATAAAAAGAAAGGCCACACCCCTAAGATGACATCAATTTACAAAAAAACCCTTCATTTAGTAGATAATTTGACAAAGTAAAGATGGAAACAATATACAGTTGAGATGATGGTTGTAATTTGCAGGAAAAAAAAAAAGGGAGAGCCACTCAAACAAGTATGGATTAATAATAAGTATGGAGTTTATGTATGTCAATTCAACAAAATTGATCTATACTTCACAAAGGCTGCACCCTTATATGGCAATGGAAAACAGGTTGAAAATTAATCCATACCAAAGAAGCGCCGCCTCCTATCATACATTCGACATTACATCTAAAATTAAATAAAAAAAACCTTAAAACCCTATAATCAAACTAAAACCGTAAATTTGTCGAGATATCGATCGCGAGCTACATGTTAAAAAAGACAATTAGTAGAATTAAGACCCTATTAATGTAGCTAACAAACTATAGAGAGCTTATGTCATGTCATTAATTATACGATTGGTGGGGCCAGATGAAAAACTCCTGGGGCGACTGCATCATCATGTGATTCATCGGTGGCGGCGTCGAGGCGGCTTCGGTGGGGCCCACGTGGTGGTGGTGGTTCATGTGCTGAAAAAAATTGTGCAAACTACCTAACACGCAAGTGCACGTATCACAAACAAGTAGTAAAAGTGAACTCATGAGAGTCGGATGTCGATCCCATAGAAAATACTCAAATTATCTAATCCTAAGTACCAAATTCTAACAATTATGGTTTTTATCCAGCCTACGCAAGGTTGTGAAATTTAATCAACTAAATAATTAAACTAATTATGAAAGCAAAACACGAGAAAATATCAAGTAAAAACGGATCTAGGATTTCATCTCCCCCCTATGCAAGAATTGCTCACCCAAAACCCCTCAATTATGAAATATATGATTCCTGATTATTAACCACAGACACTAATTTACTCATAACCCGCTGTCGCGTGTATTATGAGTCTATTATTCATAAACGGTTCACTATATGCCTATGCAAACCAATTATGAATAAAGCTGTTGGGAATATGCTCGAAATATTGTAAATAACTCGTCGGATAGGCAAGGTGAGGCGCGGACTAGGTCGCTCTCTTAAGACGAATTTCACGATCCCTTCTCGTTGAGGTGTAGTAAGGTCGCAATCGTGTCGCCTATGGGATACAACAGCCCAGCCTATCTCGTTGCTGTAGCTTCACAAGAAACCGCACTATCAAGTGAAGCAAGAAGCTTGCACCCGACACTTATAAGAACTCAAAAGATAACAATTTAGTTGGTAAAGAGGAGAAGTTTTTGTTGGCATCGAAGTGGTTCGAAATGAAATCAGCATGGCAGCTTTTATATGAACAAAAATCAGGGCCGTTTTATTTGTGAAGTAAATGGTATAATTAAAATAAAATAATTGCCTTTGAATTTGAATTTTGAAATGCTGATTTGTAACTTGTAAAAAACGTTTGTAGCCTTTAAGTAGCCTTTAAATAATAATTTAATATTGGGTCAAAAACATTGAAGTCTGGAGACTTAAAAAATCATTTTTTGTAACTGACAAATCTTCACATTTGTCAGCCGAATATGATTTGAAAATTGCACATTTATTTATAAAATATTCCAACAATCCCCCACTTATTTTATAAATAAATTAAAAACAATTTAATGTTTTGAGTTCTTAAGAGAATATTATGCATAATGAAAGTGGGCAATGCCTTGAAACCTTCACTTAGTTCATTATATTTCCCGTACTAGAATCAAAGTAGACTTAGCCTTGAAACAGTGATCCTTGGGGTACGTAGAATTATAATGCACACATAATATTCGAGTGTCCCGAATAAGCTTCTTAAAGCCGGCACATTAGCGGCCTTGTGCCTTACCCCATTTTTAGTGAGTGCTCTAGAGAATAGCCTATAATTCTCATAGAAAGCGGCCCCACTTCCACACTCACATAGGTGAATTCTATCAAGGATGTTTACGTAACTCCAACACCCCACCCATTAGGACTATAGAATTCATTAAGAGATCAAAATCTCATCCTCACAATTCGTTACGAGCTTTATTTGTGCACACGCATCATTGGGTTGGATAATAAAAGTGTGCACTTTTATCACAATCAAGTTGCTTTCAGATTCGTTTTTCTTCGCCTAGTTCTTAGGATCTCTAGTCCCTAGGTGGTAGTATCCTCATCAACAACTTTTACAATTCTTTAGGCTTTAGTCCAATCCCCCTCGATGTTGTCAAAACTTTTTCTCTAGCTAGAGATTTTGTAAACGGATCCGCAAGATTATCGCACGATTTCACAAATTCAATGGTTACGGCACCATTGTTCACATATGACCTCACAGTGCTATGTTTTCTTCTAATGGTTCTTGATTTACCATTGTAGAATTTATTTTGCACTCGGCCAATCGCAGCTTTGCTATCACAATTTAGCAAAACAGGAGGCATTGGTTTCTCCCACATTGGAATTTCATATAGTAGATCTCGCAACCAACTTGCCTCTTCACTCGCTGAGGCTAGTGCAATCAACTCAGCCTCCATAGTGGATTTAGCTATAATATGTTGCTTTTTTGAGCGCCAACATATAGCTCCTCCACCTAATGTAAACACGTAGCCAGTTGTAGAAAATGAGTTATCAGACTCAGTATTCCAATCAGCATCACTGAAACACTCAACGGTAGCAGGATGTGATTTATAAAATATTCCGTAGTCCATGGTTCTCTTAAGATAACCCATGACTCTTCTCAAAGCTTCCCAATGTTCAGCATTAGGTCTATGTGTGAATTGACTCAACACACCAACAGCATAAGCAATATCGGGTCTTGTACAATCAGTTGCATATCTAAGGCTACCAATGATACTCGCATATAATTTTTGATCTACCACATCATTGTCACTTAAAGTAGGACGCAATTTAACAACATTATTAAAAGGGGTGCACATAGGATTGCAATCAAAATAATTATATTTTTTCAAGATTTTTTCAACATAGTGACATTGATCAAGACATATACCTTCCTTTACTCTAGTTATTTTCATGCCAAGTATCACATTTGCTTCACCCATATCTTTCATATCAAAATTATTTTTAAGTAAAGCCTTAGCAAAATTCACAATTTCTATATTAGATCCAAAGATTAGGAAATCATCAACATATAAACATATAATAACATGCAATTTTTCTCTACACATATAATAAATACATTTATCACTCTCATTGCATTTAAAGCCACTAGTGAGCATACAACGATCAAATTTCTCATGCCATTGTTTGGGAGCTTGTTTTAGACCATATAAAGATTTAATCAATTGGCATACTTTTTTTCTCATGACCAAGTTGAACAAACCCTTCATGTTGTTCCATATACAATTCTTCTTCTAAATCACCATATAAAAATGCAGTTTTCACATCCATTTGATGAATAATTAAATTATGAATAGATGCAACAGCAATCAACATTCTTATGGATGTAATTCTAGTCACAGGAGAAAAAGTATCAAAGAAATCTATATCATCTTTTTGTTTAAAACCCTTAGCAACTAATCTCGCTTTATATTTATCAATAGAACCGTCGGGATTAAGCTTCTTTTTAAGAATCCATTTACAACCTATCGCATTGCAACCGGGAGGTAAGTCAACTAATTTCCAAGTTCCATTAGAAATTAGAGTATCCATTTCATTATTAATGGCTTCTCTCCACAAATCAGAATCAGGGGATGATAGAGCTTCATTAATGGTTATAGGATCATTTTCTACGTTATAAATTAAATAATCAAGACCAAAGTCCCTCTCAATTCTAGGTCTCTTACTTCTTCTAGGTTCAATTTCAACACTAGGTTCGTCTATGTTCTCATTGGTGATAGTGATCCTAGATGAACTAGGTTCTTCTATAGATTTATTATTACCCCCACTATTTCTCAATTTATAGGGAAACTTATCTTCATGAAATATGGCATCTAAAGATTCAATTACAACATTATTTTCTAAGTCAAGAAATCTATACGCTTTACTAGAATCAGCATAACCAAGAAAAACACATTTATAAGCTTTAATTCCTAATTTAGGAATTTTAGGATCATAAATTCTCACATAAGCAAGACAACCCCAAATTTTAAAATAACTCACATTTGGTTTTCGATGTTGCCATAATTCAAAAGGAGTAATTAAATCATGTTTTCTAGGTACTCGATTTAAAACATAATTAGCAGTTAACACAGCTTCACCCCACAAATAATTAGGTGCATTTGAACTAGCGAGCATAGCATTAGTCAAATTAATCAAAGATCTATTTTTTTCTTTCAGCAACTCCATTTGATTGAGGAGAATAAGGAGCGGTGACTTGATGTACGATCCCTAAGGATTCAATATGAGATCTAAGGCCAAGTGAATCATATTCTTTACCTCTATCAGTTCGAAAAGACTTGATTTTTCTTTCAAAACGATTTTCCACTTCTTTAATAAAAATCACAAGTTTTTCAAAAGCATCACTTTTATTTTTCAAAAGATAAATATAACAATATCTTGAAAAATCATCAATAAAAGTAATAAAATATTTTTTGCCACCTCGAGTTAAAATACCTTCAAATTCACAAATATCAGAATGAATTAATTCTAAAAATTCAGTCGTTTTATCAACTTTAAAATGTGGTTGTTTAGTGATTTTAGTCATACTACAATATTCACATTTTTCAAAATTATTATGAAAATTAGGTATCATGCCCACTTTACTCATATTTTTCACATATTTACTATTAACATGACAAAGACGTGCATGCCACATATTAACACAAGAAGCGACATAAGCAGAAGTATCATTTATTTCAACATTAAGTTTAAACATGCCATCACAAGCATAGCCTTTACCAACAAAAGCACCACCCTTAGAAAGTACAAATTGATCTGCCTCTATGACTTGTTTGAAACCAGCCTTATTAAGCATAAAACCAGAAACTAAATTCTTTCTAATAGCAGGAACATGAAGAACATCCTTCAGAATAACCACACGGCCCGAAGTAAACTTCAAGTGGACGTTGCCCATGCCCATCACATTAACAGTGTGAGAATCACCAAGTAGCACCTTGTTATCCTCGGAAGAGGTATAAGTTTCGAACAAGGTTTTGTCGTGACTCACGTGCCTCGACGCACCAGTATCTAACCACCACCCATCATTATTTTCAAGCATGTTGATTTCGGTGACCATCGCCACTAATGGTTCTTCAACAGCTTGAGTTACATTCGCCTGTGGAGCACCGGTTTTTCGATGATTACAGTCTTTTGCCTTGTGACCCGGTTTTCCGCAGACAAAGCAAGCATTAAGCGCATATCCATTGTTTCTCGGTGGTGGCCGATTATAAGATGGAGCATGGTAACCTTTGTTTGGGCCAAAATGTGAATTCTGACTAGGATACTTGTTAGATGTAAATTTATTATTTCCATTTGACTTCATAAATTTACCCTTAGGTTTAAGGTGAGCATAATTCTTTTTAGGTCCATTATTTGCAGAAACTAAATGTACCTTTTCGCGATAACTTCCTTTGTCTTGTTTCCTTGCTTCTTCCTCGATTCGCAGCCGTGCCATGAGATTAACCAACTTCAACTCGCTTTGTTTGTGTAGGAGCGTCTTTTGGAATTCCTTCCACGATTCCGGTAGCTTGTCGATTATGGCGGCGACTTGCATTTGTTCGTCGATCTTGATGCCCTCCGTTTCGATGTCGTGGACAATCATTTGGAGGTCATGGATTTGATCGAGCACCGGTTTCTCTTCCACCATGCGAAAGTTGAAATATCGGCTACATGCGTACTTCTTAGTGCCAGCTTCTTCGGAGTCGTACTTGTCTTCCAAGGCTGCCCAATTTTTTCTCGCGGATGAGTAAGAGTTGGAGTAGAAATCATACAACTCGTCGGAAAGACAGTTGAGTATATAATTTCTACAGTCTTCTTCGTCGTTTGCCCATTTTTTGAGCAACGTGTCGTGATCTCGTTTTTGTTGTTCGTCAAACGCAGTGGCGTCTATGTGATTGGGATTGTCATCGGTAATAATACACGCCACCTTCATGAGTTTCAAGTAGAACAACACCTTTTTAGCCCATCGTCGAAAAAACTGCCCATTGAAGCGGAATGGTCGGTTGAGCTCGTTTGTTCCGGTAGAGGCAGCAGAAGTTGCAACAGCAGCAGGCCTCTCCATTGGGAATACGAAGAATTTCATCTTAAATTGTTGGGAATATGCTCGAAATATTGTAAATAACTCGTCGGATAGGCAAGGTGAGGCGCGGACTAGGTCGCTCTCTTTAGACGAATTTCACGATCCCTTCTCGTTGAGGTGCAGTAAGGTCGCAATCGTGTCGCCTATGGGATACAACAGCCCAGCCTATCTCGTTGTTGTAGCTTCACAAGAAACCGCACTATCAAGTGAAGCAAGAAGCTTGCACCCGACACTTATAAGAACTCAAAAGATAACAATTTAGTAGGTAAAGAGGAGAAGTTTTTGTTGGCATCGAAGTGGTTCGAAATGAAATCAGCATGGCAGCTTTTATATGAACAAAAATCAGGGCCGTTTTATTTGTGAAGTAAATGGTATAATTAAAATAAAATAATTGCCATTGAATTTAAATTTTGAATGCTGATTTGTAACTTGTAAAAAACGTATGTAGTCTTTAAGTAGCCTTTAAATAATAATTTAATATTGGGTCAAAAACATTGAAGTCTGGAGACTTAAAAAATCATTTTTTGTAACTGACAAATCTTCACATTTGTCAGCCGAATATGATTTGAAAATTGCACATTTATTTATAAAATATTCCAACATAAGCATTAACTAACAAGTCTCGTAAATGGCTACCTAAGGTGATATCTGTATGTCTACGACACCACATGCAATTGACACACTCATCCGGTGAAAACTACTCAAAGGCTCTTTTACTTACAGTCTTATTTTTCAAAATAGCTCTGTCGAGTCAATCCCAATAATCACAGATAAAGCACCTAAATTGATCAGGTTCATGCACTAACAATCATAACAAGTAGAAGAAATAATCAATAAATCATAATTGCATAATCTCAAGAAAACGAGTTCACCATCCCCACACAGGGTTCCAACAAAATGCTAGATTAAAAACTTAGCTACTCATGTTCTCTATGAACATATGATAAACATAATAAAAATATAAAAAGAAATAGATTAAGAAAAGATAGATGAAAGAAGAATTGTGATGAAGATTTGTCAATTCTCCGTCTTCGTTTCTCCGTTCTCTCGTTCCTCTTCCTCTAAAATTGTGTCCAAAAGTCCTCTAATTCGTGCTTGGTTTGGACTTAAATAGATGTCTCAACTTGGTAGAAGAATTCAGGTTTCCTTGTGTGATTAAAAGTCCAAAATTGTCTCCAGCGTGTTTTCAGACGGCCGCGCGAGAATCAGTACAATTCTCACACGGCTGCGCGAGAATCGCCGAAACCTTCTGCCCAAATTCTGCAGTTGGCGCAGCCGCGCCAAAAATAGGCTAAATTTGGCACGGCCGCGCATGCGACTTTTCAGCATATTTTTGTTTTCTTCCGTTTTTGCCCTTTTTTTTATCTTTTTCGGCTCATTTCAACCTTGGAATTCCCAAATCATCAAGTTGTACCTAAAATACAATAAACCACTCATTAAGCACCATTAAATCAATAAAAGTATACAAAAATCCTCCTAAGAAAATATACATTGAGTGTAAAATATACACTCAACAGTGGTGGTAGAACAGAGCCCCCGCCGCCGCCGTCGTGTCGAACGGCACTCCGTACGGGTAGAGGGAGGAGCCCGGGGGTTGCACGGTGGTGGAGAAACTAATATTGGTGGTGGTTTGAGTGGCGGCGGCGGTGTTTGAAGGATGGTTGAGATTGTCGTCCATGTCATTGGATTCGAGGGAGAGTTTCAAGCGCTTGGCGGCACCACCAACCGGAAGAGGGCTTTTGGCCAAGATTGGGGTGGGTTAACGGTTCATCTCAAAATTCGTGACAGCATTTAGTCCCCTGAATTTTATGGCCGCTATGTCGTACGCTTCGGCCGCTTCCTCCTCCATCGCTGCATTTAAATTAAATTAAAATTAAAAACAAAATCAATAACTATAGGCGGTGCTCGACTAATGACTCTTGATAGCAATAAACTTCCTAGTGTTACTAAAATTAGCAACAAAAAAAAAACCTGATAATGCATTTTTTTTAGCATATCACCCCCTAAATAGCAAGTCTTTATGGTGTAGTATGCTTAAAAAAATAGAATCATAGGGGGTTGGTTTTGCAGTAAAATAACACGAGTAGTTTTTTTAGCAATTAAAGAAAACACATGGGTGTTGAATGCAATAAACCGTTAAATGTTTTTTTTTTCTTTTTCGAAAGCCAATTTATCGACTTGATTAAGTCGAATAAACGGAATTAATTAACTAAGCTTACGTACCAAATGTTCCAAGGTAGAGGTCTTTATTCCCCGCAACACGACCAATCCTTGCTTGCCATCGACCTTGTTGATGATGCCTGCATATTCACGACTTATATAAATTAAAACTTCGGAAAAAATAATTTTCAAGAAAACTAAGATCGCAATTGAATGCGTCGAAATTCACAAGTGCTTAATGTAATCAAACCTTGTAACACCCCTATATATCGATGCTCCCCTTGAAAAACCGCTACTATTCCTAAAGAAAACAAATAAAAATAATTTGTTAGACTCTTAATTGCTCGGTTTTTGTTTCCCCCTTTTGTAGTCATTTACGAGCTTATTTAACAACGGAGTGACGGAGAAAATCAAATCAAACCTTCTAAGCGAGGCTATGAATTCTTGTTTAGTCGCATGCTACATCTCCTCGAGTTCTTTGGCATAATTTAAAATCTAAAAGGGCGAATTGATTTATCTGGTTAATCGACGGATATAATATATTAATGTACACGCAGATTAAATGTAGTTACGAGATGTATTAATTACCGGGAAGTTCGTGGTGGCAGTGGCACCCCAGTACTTGAGAGCGGCTAAATCGTACGCTCTTGCCGCCTTGTCTTCCTTGTCATAACCACCTACACCACAGTTTTGAATATGAATAATCTTGATCGAAAATTTATTATTATATATACGTAAATACACGAATAGCAAAATATAGAGGTGCTAAAAGCATTAATTACTGTTGAATTTGAATGCCTATGGATATCCACTCATCTGTTGAGACAGACTACATGTTACGACATTAGGTGAGGTAACAGAATTGTTGTGTTGTCACAGTAATAAATCTACGAAAAGCAGAATAAAGAACACAACAATTTAATGTGGTTCGGATACAAATGTACCCTACATCCACGAGGACTTGCAAAACTAGTTCAGATTTAAGTGTACATTAATAGGACTTAATAAAACACTAAAGACTCCCTCTTTATGTGATACGCCGTTCTTGCACACGACTCGAACTTGTTGATAATCAAAGCAATTCCTCCTCCGCACTCTTGGACTTCCTCCAATGTTGAACTTCCTTCAAACGGCGGATCGACCTCTCCCGAGATCTTTTAAGCACTTCTCCCGAAACGCCGATCTTCTTTATGGCCTGGTAGAAGAAACCTGTTCTGTTGCCACACCTGTCGTGCAGACAGGGCTGCAGCACGGGCTGCACCCTTCAAAGCCTTTATGTTGGGATTTTTCTTATTAAAGCTCCATCGGACTCATATGAGGTTGAGGGCCTTATATAGGCACGAAATCCACCACCCTAAACCTAACTTGAGCCCTAAGAAATCGATTAACTAGGTAATAGAATCCTAGTCGATTTCTACTTCTATTCTAGATAAATACAAAAGATACCTAACTAGAATACAATACATGGAAATAAATCTAAGTCCTAATAACAATATTACAAAAATAGGACTCTAATTAATTCCAAAATAAACATGGAAAACAAATCTTTGCCAATCTTTAATTTCCACGTATGACGGATTTCTTCAATCTTCACTAACGGAAATTTGGAGCCAACAATTACGAATACACAAATGTCCAGCAGCGTCGAGTAAGATGATCCCAGTTCATGCAAAGACGGTCAATAAGCTCGTTAGAAACTTACCCGAATTAAAAAAAAAAAAAAAAAAAGTTGACCAAAAACAACGAACCGGGACAAAAAAATCTATTACATATGGAGCTAATAGCACAGACCCCCCTGTGTTATATCTAATTGGCGAAAAAACCATTGTATTAAAAAAATTAGCCAAGACCCCCTTATGTTTTGGTTTACGAAGCACACCCACCCTTATTTCAATTTTCGTTGTTGATTTACCCAAAATGACTAAATTATCCCTAATGAATTAATATTATTATAAACAAACAAAATGGAATAGTTATAAATTAAATATTAAAAAAAAAAAGCCATATCTAATTGCCATCACCGACCCCCAATTCGGCGATTCCCCACTCCCCCAACCCCAAACCTTTCATACAACTTCAACCACCGCCGCACCACCACATCCGTGGCCGCATCACCACTTGAAAACTGCCAATACCCAGAAATTTGATCAATTAGGTGAACGAATCTCATACATTAAATAAGAGAAATTGGGACTGTTCGGGGAGAATCACCTCGTCATAATCAAACAACTTCAGCAACAACAAATCAAAAAAAAAAAAATGAAGGGAATGGGTTTTACAAGTTCTGTTTCTTTTCTCCATCACGATTCACGCAGGGGGTCGGCGGCCCTTCGATTTGTCGACCCGGCTGCTCAGCGATAATTAAGAATAGCTCGACGACCTCGTTCTTCCATCTTCTCCAACGAATTAAGTATATTCGTGCGGCAGGTCGGTTTTTCCGCCCGGTTTTTGCTGGAAAAAGTCACAACAGAGAAGGTGGGGATGAGAAGATGGCTTTTTTGGAAATATGAAGGACTGAATTGAAAATTTTCAAACTTTACTTTGGTGCTGAAACTTTTGGGATGAATGTGCAATTTTCAAAATTTCTAATTTAAAGGGTATTTATGTATTTTTAGGTCAAAAAGCGCAATCCCACTTGCATACACGGCGAGTGCAGTGCACGATAAGCTGTATTGGACTTTTTTGGCTTTGACTAATTTTCATAAGGGGGTATTTGCTAATTTTTATAACACGAGTGTGCTTTCAGCAATTAGAGATTTCAGAGGAGTAGTTTTTGCAAAAAACCCATTACATATGTGATTTTATATGCATTCTTAATTAGTTCATAATCTTCTAGTTGGATAGAATTACATACAGTAGCTAGCTAGTTTCCAGATAAGATCAAGAACTCTTGGAAAAAAAATTCCATGTATTAAAATCGTGAAGAGAATCCAAAGAACAATTAATATTTTTTTTTGTGATCAAATGACGAAAAAACCATTCATTCGAGCTCAACGACCTCAACTATGAATTTTTTTATATGTCCACCTTTGCTGGTCAAATTTAGTGGAATCTTCTAAATTATGTGGAATATTCTTCGATTTGTACCCGTTTTTTACTCCATTCGAGCTCCACATTTTGAAAGGATCATTATAAAATGTGTATCAGAAACTGCGTTTTTACATTTTTGTTACAGGAAATCAAGAAAATTCTGTTGAATTTTACGCCATGAGAATGGACGTGTAAGAAAATTTATAGTTGATGGGTTGATTGTAATCACCCAAAAGAATTTTTTTTCACATCTACGGCCCATAATTAATTTTTTTTTTCCTTTTTGAAAGATGAATAAAAATGGCGGCCCATCTCATCAAATCAGTGACAGATTAGAACGAAATATCAAGTACTACAGGTTTCTGTATTGTCATTTCCAGTCAATCAATCATCAATATAAAATCCCAATTTACTAATTAAAAAAAAATGATTTTTATTTATTTTTTGCAGTAAAGGTACAACTTCAATTTGCAGAGAAAGAAAAAAAATGAATGAAAGTTGTACCATATATGCGCTTCATATCTTCCCGTCCATCTAGGGGTGAGTTCGGGACGGGATTTCGGGAATTCGGGATTTTTGGGATCGGGATTTCGGAATTCGGGATAGAAATTTTAAATCCCAATCCCGTCCCAAACTATTAAATCCCGGTTATATCGGTATCCCTAAATATTTCGGGAATCGGGATTGGGATCGGGAAATCCCATATTTTGCCTAAAAACTAAGAAATATTGCATCTTTTTTCCATTAGTATTATTTTATATACTAAACCAACTTGAATATATTATATACATACTATTGTTCTTGCCTTATTTATTTTTACCACAAAACTTGGAACAAATAAAATTTAAAAATTTAAAAATAAGTTGAAACAATATATTTTATATTGTATTTCTCATCTCCTTGACACTATATATATATATATATATATATGTGTGTGTGTGTGTGTGTGTGTGTGTGTGTGTATTTTATTAGTTTTTTTTCTTTTTTTCCTAATTCGGGATTAAAATATCCCGATCGGGATTGAACCAATTCCCTAATACCGATCCCGTATTTGTTCCTAATCCCAATCCCGAATCCCGTAATCCCGAATTCCCGAAGTTTTAGTCCCAAATAGTAAAATCTTAATCGGGACGGGACGGGATCCCGAATCCCGATCCCAAATGCCCAGCCCTACGTCCATCTATGCCTGCAATTTATATTTCAACAATTAATAGTTTACCAGAAAAATTGGTTTGTATAATTATTTAAAATGAATTAAAAAATAAATAATATATAAATAATCATAAATTTGTTTGATAATTGTTTTTTATACTTGTAGTTGTAGTTCACTAGTTGTATAGAGATATCAGAGTATAATCATGGTTATCAAATGAGTATTTGATAACAATGGGTTGAAGTTGCTCTAATATATAACAATCTCATCTCAATTAAAAAAAAATCAAAAAAAAAAAAAAAAAAACAAAAAAAAAGAAAGAAAAGAAAATACATAACAATCTAACGTTACAACTGAAATGGTAAATACAAGACGATTTTTTGTAAATGCATATTATTTTTCTAATTTAACTTTAATTTTTAATCCCATTGAACACATTTATCGTTTGTTTAACTTTATTATTCTAAATAAAATTCATAGATTTCACTCTTATGTTTCAATTTATTATCTTTAGTGTTGTTGAACACAAAAAAAAAATGGTGGAACAATCCGATCTAACAAAGCTTCACAAATCTAGAAAAACGAGCGTATGCAGTAGGCAGTAGTATGAATTATGAACAAAGTTTGATAATCATAAACTCGTGTTTTGACGATTAATATTATGGCAAAATAAAAGTTAAACAAGACCACATCCTTAAATAATTAAATGAGAGTTTTTAAGAATAATTTTTGGAATTATTGACAAATATTTGGCAATGTTGAGCAAAATAATTGTCACTATAGAGAAATATTTTTATTTTATATTACCTGTCACTTTAGAATTTTAATAATCCACTAAGTATAATATTATTTTTCATGTTTTATCCATATTTATTCAACTCTAATATTAATTCTCTCTATCACATCTTTAAATGATCAAGGTTATTGGGATAATTAATGTGTTTTTTGAAATGATATTTGAAATCTTAAACGATACTTCGAAATCTGAATACGTATGCTGAAATCCTTAACGATACTTAATTTGAAAACGAGATAGTAGAAAGGAATAATCGAAAGACGAGGACCCAAAATTATGAACCCATATCTAAATCTAAAACGACTTGTGATTTTGGTGTTTGGCTTTTTTCACCAACTAAAAAAGTTGCACCTGAATTAATCTTGATTATGGGGTAATAATATTCAATAATTATAAATCCTATCTTTTATTTCATTTCGAACAAGTCTATGTTTCCAATTCATCACCTACTACGTACCACAACATGCATGAATAAATAATTGAATATTAAGTGGAACTAAATTGCTGCACCGAAAAA